ACACGTTAATTTTCAAAATTATCCCTCAAAAATAAGTTTAAAATGACTTGTAAAATCTAAAAACTTGTAAAATCTTTGAACGTCGTTTTCTCATTTCCAGTTTTTTACAGATGGGACTGACTTGTGGTCATGGGCTGGTTGGTTCCAAAATGAATGATTAAAAAGTTACATTTTGAATAGCTGTTTAGCATTGTACGTTGATTTGTAAACTGGACCCGACGAATTGAAATCAGCCATTTAAAAATCATCGTTAAAGCAGTCGGTCGAAGATTTGTTAACCTGTTCTGTCATCGTGCTGTCAAGATGACTTTACGATTTCTACCCCGATTTCTACCGTGCTGTATTAAAAAAATGTTGAGAATTCTAAATAAAAAAAAAAGTGAAGCAAGTGGATAGTAGGAATAGTTAATGTAAACGATGTGATTATTGAATGTATGTTTAATTTTTCAGCTAGCCTCAGGCGTAATGATAATGTGATAGTAAGAAACATTCGGAACGAGTAGGGCACCACTAACAACGACATATTCAAGGCCAACAATTGAAATGGCCTTAACTCCATTTTGTAAACAAACCTTGTAAGGCCATTCTCTCTCAGTAATATTATTATGTACTGCATTTTGGGCTTATCTCGCTCTCATCTTGTCACACTTTATCACAAATTGAAAATTATTATTTCCTCGTGGATTACTACTTACGAACGGAATATCATGAAAAGCTTTGGAGAAAAGAGCTGTTCAAATTCGTCAGGAAGATGTTTTGCGATTCTCCTATGAACTGAAATGCTTCCAGTGGCATCTAGAGCAGCTGGTATTTTTGGATGAAGTTTCCTTTGACAACCACCAAATGCTTCCAAATCGTGGATATGGACGTGTTGGACAAGTCTTATTTACCGAGGAGAATTTCGACGTAAGCCACGCGTTTCATGTCTCTGCTGTTTAGGTCAATCGGAAGTAATTGAATCTTTTGAAACGCAGGGTAGAAATAAATTTATTGATTGTCGTGCTAAAATGGCTCTCCATACTGGAAATGATCATAAATATCCTGGAAAACACTCGTTCTGGATAATGTATGGGGCATTTTCCTATTGAAATGTATTAAAGATCCATTCGTATTTTTTCTATATTCGTGCCAGCTTACTGCCTCTTCTATAATCCGATCGAGGTTGTGTTCGGATTGGTGAAGCGTTTCGGAACATGATACAACTCCATTTTCTGTAACTGTTGGTGCCGCTCTATCTAAATTCATGTCCGACAAATGCACAGGTCTTTTTCAAAAGTGTGGGTTCTCGTCGGGAGGGATATTCGACCCTTCAGTTGGACTTCCTCAACTAAGTCTATAGTTATTTAATAAATCAGGTTGAATCAAATTAGGAACATAAATCACAATTAACAACACAAAATTGAAGTTAAACAAAACCAATCAATGTATTCTTTATTGAAGGAATACAAATCATAATCATAAATTCAGTAAGCAAGCAAAGTCAGCATGGTCGATGTTAGGCATGTCCGTAACAAGAGACGCCAGCTTCTTGCTAAATTCAGTTTCCTCCGGTGGTAAGGAATCCTGCATTGCATTCAACAATGAGCGGGATGAACTCACCTGTGTCTTGAGGCAGTGTAGTTCTCTTTGGATCTGATTCATACTCTCTGTCATTGAATCCGCTTTTGTACACAAGCCACTTACTGTTGCTAAAATTCCGTCTGCCATATTGTAAGCCACATGTAATCCTGCGTAACTTTAAGCTGATTTGCTTTAGAAATTGGAGCAGCACGAAACAAGTGGAGATAGGTACTCATCTGGAGGTGCTTTTTTCATCAACCTTGTATGTTGGTCTGCTGGTTGAGCAAGAACAAAATTTGCCCACCGTTCCCTAGATGAAAATAGTGCGGAGTAAACCCTTTTCCCACATGGGTAGCGTTGCAATTGAGGAGTATTTTAACACATGGACCTGAATGTTTTTACCTCTCAACTGCTTGGTGTTGTGCCAAATACCCTCCATAGTTTAAAATTTCTTAATATTTTTTTGGGCTTCAACAACAAAAATCTGTCCAAATCAATCTCATGTCTTAGTAGCCTGATTTGTTGTTCATTATCACTATGCTCGACCACGATCTCCCGAGCAACATATTCTCTGGCTACTTCCCAGATGCACGTCAACAAACTTGACACAGAACTCCCTTACATATTCTTCGGAATAACCGGATCCGCAAAATGCTATGATCTAAACAACCGAACACAAAACAAACCGATGAAATGAAATTGCTGGTTCTTGAACTGACAGTCATATTCAGCTTATAGATACTATAGATTCCATAGATAAGCGGAGGCATAAGAAGTTGTTTTGGCAACCATGAAAAATAAACGATCTTACTGGTATCCGTAAAAAAAGTTCATGCAATCATAGAGCTTTTCGTTGTGCAGTTTTGTTTTGTTTCTTGCGTAAAAGTTCAAAATGCAGTGCAAAGCAAATTTTTGCAACAATGTATCGAGGAATGGTTTGCTTTATCTTTCCTTCTTCCGTTGTCCGCAGTAAATCGGAATGTGGAGTGTGGAACGCGTTTTGTGCTCATAATATTACAATACTTCTCCCTCAAACAACACGTTTGGCTACACTAACTGACTGTTCGTTTGGCTACATTATACTTTTCCTCCGCTTATCTATGGAATCCGTAGTATCTATAATTCAGCTGAGATCCATCGTTTTCCTTTTGGTGAGTTGATGAGGAACCACTTTTGTTCGCCTCGATTGTGGCTTGCTGGTTCTCAATATCATCTTCACAGATGTCTTCAAAACCGGTGCCAGACAGATTACTCAGGTCAATAAACTCAATCTCCGCGAATGGGTCCGGATCTTGGTCGGAATCCACCTTTCTCTTCTTCGGAGCTCTTGCTTCACTGCTTTCGCCTTCCATGTCAGAGGTTTCCATGCTGAAAAGTAAAATGTTGAGAGTTTTTATAATCTTTGTGCTCACATCTTAAAGCAAAAAATCATTTAACTTACGTGCAATCAGCCAATCTGTTGTATGTTCGAGAATTGAATCCGTTGAGCCTAGGTTGTTACAATTTTTGTTTTTGTTTTGGTTTCAATTGAAAGGGGTGATTCATGAGTAACTCTGGTCGTCAATGAATCACCCCCACGTAATGAAAACTGGCAAAAATAAATGGAAAATTTTAAAATACATTTGGAAGTCCGGAGTGATAAGGCTGCCCACGAGACAGTTGCGATCAACTGACTTTTTTGTTCACCAAGAACTTTTGACAGATCACAGTAGAACTGACAGTTTATTATCATATGAATTTCTGCGTTGTTTATGTTTACATTCAGCACCATTAACACCAGATCACTCACACATTCTAGATTTCAAGCTGTCAGTTCCACTGAGAAACACACAATTCGTTTTTTTTTCCCTTGATCTTGTTTTCCGTGCTAAGCATCAATAATACCGACGCCAGGAAGGTTGCTCCCACACCTGGACCCTACCTATCGACCCATCATCAACTCATGAACTCAACCCCGAAGGAAGTCGTGATCAGAGATGTTATGCCTCAGAACATCCCGGCGGCGCTGACTGGGATTGAACCCAGGCCTGCTGGGGTGAGAGGTAATCACGCTTACCACGACACCACCGGCGCCGCTAAGGATCAATCTCGTAAAATAACAAAACAATCAGATACAGGATTGATTCCTCTATCATTTGGTATAGTTTGTTTGCGAAATTGAGCTTTTATTCGTGAGAAATCAACGATTGAAGTTTTTGTTCACAAAAGCAATAACGCCCAAATCAGGAATCGCTCTGGAAGATTTATTTACACTAAAACTTTATTTCTTGTAGAAAATAGCAGACTGCAAGAATTTTCATCTGCTTATAATTTGGCCTACCCATATATCTAAACGTGGATGCGGGTTTCCATTGCATTCTATTCCACTGCAACTTGAATTAATTGATAATGCAAGACAAACTTTTTTGGTGCAACTTCCTCTAGCAAAAGTCAATTTAATTCGTTTCCGGAAAAAGTTTAGCTTAAATTGCATTAAAGCTTCTTCCAGGATAGCCTCGATCGATTTTATTTTTGTGTCATAAAACTCCGACAAAATCACCCACATTTTTTGCCGCTGACTGTATCAGATGATGCGATAGCGTCTACAGCAAGGACAACGGTTTATAAATTACGGCAAAGTCCTTCACCGCCATCCGCCATTCGCCGCCATTCATGGTGACACGTGTGTGTGTGTGGCTTGGTGAGTTTTGCTTTTTTCATTATAAATGTGACCGAACAGAAAAAATGTAAAACTCTATATCCAAGTTAGTGTTCGATAAATGAGCTTTAGTAGAGGGATGCGAAAAAGTGACTTTCACTTTTGTCGGGTAGATTTCTAGGATGAAAAAATCGATCCACTAGAAAACTTGTCTTTCCAACGGCATTTGTAGATTGAATTCCGCTGTATAGTTCATCAAGCATTCCTTTGGGTGATGTGATTGCACTCTTGTTCTCTCTTTCCGTTGGCGGAGACTGACTGGCGGGCGAGCACTGAGCTGGCATCTAGAAGAGTGGTCATGCGCCGAATGGAATGGTTGAGCTTTTCGATTGACTGCGGAAAAAAGGCGGAGCTACGAAAGTTGAAAGCTTCTGTTAGCCACATCCCATCGAGCACATTTCGCTCTTCTTCTGTATGCGGCGCGGCGGTTGTAGGTATATGACGTCTTGTGCTCGTTGCTATGCGTGATTGACGGAGTGAGATGCTTGGCGTGAGAGTTAACTTTGCCATGCGGCGCTGTTGTCTGATGAGTGTTTGCCGGTGGTGTGGTGGCGGTAGCTTTCGCATGCGGTCGATGAAATGCCTTTGCATAAACAGTTTTTGTTGTTCTTCTTATTTTTGCCATAGGATTGGAGACCCAGTATGCGCATGTCTGAGTAGTTGTATGCTTTTGGCCCCAAAGGCATACACAGCCGAGAGGGTGAATTTTCTTCTCTTTATGAGAATTTCGCTAGATATTTTTCATCTATTTCACGTCCAGTCGCGGATGAGTTCACATCGATTGCGCGCCGTGTCGCGATTTGAGTTGTCGTCGGGGTGTTGTCGTTTGCGAGTCTCGTGAAGATTGATAAGTTCAAGTGCTCTAGAAAGTTGAACGGTACATCGACTTTTGTGATGTTATTGATTTCGGACTGAATGAGCTGATTCTATAGCGAGATAATCGCCTGATATTGATGTGTAGCCAAACTGATGAATTTCGCGCATTGATTAAACTGTAGATGATTACGCCAAGTCAGTGAAAGACCGTGCGCTACGAAGTCGACCACTTGGGATGGTAGAACTGTGACCGGTAGACGTGTTTGGAGAAGTGGTGTTTTTGTTTTGTGTTGGTGGTGTATTATGCAAGCTGGAGAAGGTTTTCCGCGAGTCGTTAGCTTGTAAATAGTGAACACAAATACGGAAGAATAGTGTAGTCTGATGTTTTGAAGGTGTTGAGATAAACTTCCAAAACCTTGTACCGCTTTAGTCTTTGGTTTAAACACCTTTTTTTTGTGACGTGAGTAGCTACAAAAAAACTGTTTTATGAAACTACCGGTAGAACGCGTTACGAAAGTAATGAATCTCGAGGAACCTGCTTTCGCGGATAATTACATACAAGAATTCGTGCTGGAGCATCTGGATGACACGAACGTTAAGCGGGAAGACATTAGTCCTACTGCCGGAAATGGAAAGATCTGGGCAACGGCAGGGGACGAAAATGGATTCATTCCGATACGGTTGAAAGCGAACGGCACAACATGGCATGTGGAGGAACGTAAAGTCAGTTCCATCACTCCAAATTCGGATTTTTATCCACATCCCACCCACGGACAGCCGGTCTTGTTGAATCCTCCGATCGCCGGCGTTCCTTCAACACCGCCAGAAACACCTCCAGTTGTTGGATCGCCTAATCATACCAACTCTGCCCCCTATCCGTACTATGGTAATCGCATCCAGCCGGATCAAATGGAAAACATGATGATCGTGCCGCAAACTATGCGAATGGAACAACCTTTGGATCTTCGACCATCTCACCAGTTTTCGCTATCGGAAGGTGACTGGATGGAACGCAAGGAATACATGCAAGCCCATGCAGCCAGTGGATACTCGCACCACCATCATGCTCAACTCGATCACCTCAACCCGATACACGGTGGTTCCCATCATCATCTCCATCTCCACGGACATTCGAACCGACCACATTCCGTTAGTTCTATGGGATCAGCTTCATCGCCCAGAAATGGTAATAGTACCGGTAGCTGTTACGCTCACGGTAGTAGCGATGACCTTATCAACGATGATATGCTCATGTCGCTTTCGGTACGGGAGCTCAACAAGCGACTGCACGGATGTCCACGTGATCAAGTGGTTCGCTTAAAACAGAAACGACGCACACTGAAGAATCGCGGTTACGCACAAAACTGTCGCTCCAAACGACTTCAACAGCGTCACGATCTGGAAATTACAAACCGCCAGTTGCAAAGTGAGATGCATCATATGAAGATGGAGTTGTCAAGGATTAAACAGGAGAGAGACGAGCTCAAAAGCAAACTTCGTGACCACGCAGCATTGGCGGCCGCAGCAGCAGCACATCAACACTCGCAACAACCACAGCCGCAACAAGTGCCACACCAGCACCAATCATCCCGTCAACCGAATGGGACAGTACCTTCAACAAAACAACAACTGCTCACCGATAGCACCAGCACACCCGAGTACTACGTATGACGCCAGATAGGAGGCCAACAACCGTGGATCGGACGTTACGCTTCCTAATGCTGCAGGTACATCCCTAAATCGAAGGTCGTTACGAAAATGTTTTGGATGACGAGAATGCTACTTTGTTGGATGGTTATGTAAATATAAAAGCAAAGACTGGTTCTGTGCGGGGCGCAATGTTACTATTTCGAGAGACTTAAGATTGAGGCATTGTAGGCACCTCCCTTCAGGTGAGGTGACAGTTAAATGGCAGCAGCTCCTTATACGAAACTTGTAATTTCACTCAAGGACTATAATCGTAAAAGATGAACAATGTGAATTGTGAACTTGACACTTCAAACAAGATGCCAAATTTATGTTGAAGCAATAATTTGTTACAATATGTTTCCTAGAAAGAGTATAATCAAAGATTTTATTAAATATTACAAAATTGTTTAAAAAAAAAATCTTTCATTTATCCGTATCATTTCTTCCTCGGAAGGTTATCTTTCTTTCCTCTTGGGTTTATTTATATTTGGTAGTAATCGTTTCTGGTTCGGATTCAAGTCGTTACCTAAAGTACTTATGCTCCACTTCTTGGATGTATTTCAAATGTAAATAAAAAAAAATGACAAAACGAACAATGCGCACGATTGTAGAATGTAACTGCTTGGCTGAGGTCGTTTTTCATTTTCAATTTTCCCATCTTCGTTTTCCAAATGATGACAGTTATTGTGCCACTATGACGGACGCGTGCCGGCGAGGGAAAATTGTTTCAGAATGGTCGCACATTTTGAGTGAAGTGTATTGTTAATGTTTACGTTTAGTGAGGATTTTCATTCTCTGGGGATAATTTTTTTCCGGGTGAGTGACTTAATTTCGTTGTGAATACAGTTGTAAATGGATAATTTTTCAATACTGTTTGCTAGTAAGTAAATGAAATATAAATTATGATCAAATTACTGTGTCGGTGTTAGTGGTGGGTATGCTTTCCGTTAAATAGTTAAAACTCCGAACACGATGCCTCCGGTAAGATTTCTAACGGAAAATGGACAATAATTGAAAAGTCATTGCTGAGAAATTCAACGATAAATTTTAAATCTATTGATAACGAATAAATCTTTAAACAATTTAGTTTCAAATGGTGACAATAGATTTGAAATTCGTTAATAAATGGCTGAGCAATGGTTTTCCAAACATTGCAAGTTTTTCGTAACACGTTTTATCGGAGGCATCGTGTTCGGAGTGTTAATCAATGTTGAGAATGACCGGGCCAAAGCTTTTATTTTGTGTAATACGTTCCAAATAGACATGGTTGGTATTTTTACCCGAAACATGATCCGCATCCATTCCGGACGGGTTGGTAAAACCTTAGGAATTCTTTACGCAGTAGAAAAAAATCAGCATATTGTTTTCTTTTTATAATAGACCCTTATGATGCATATTATATAAAGTTCTCAGTTGAGAGGGTCTAGTATAAGAGAGGAGCCAATCCTGGTTTTAAGCCAATCGAGTAGCGCCTATCTTGATTGCATTGGCAGTGTTGTTAGAAACCACATAGGTTGCCAAGGCAGTTTGTTTTGAATCCACTCCTCTCTTATACTATACCCTCACACTTAGAAATATTAATGTAAATTTAAGTGCTCTGAGACGGACATATACGAGCGTCAATTTTGACAAAACATCAAGTCATAATAGATGCGAAATTCAGCTCATTGAAACATAATTTCGAACTTTTCAGTCTCGGAGCACTTATTTTTACATGACATGTTTGTTTACGTCTTATCCTTTATGTCAAAGATGGACTCCGTCACGTGTAAGATTATGTATTTCTAACTGTGCTCTCTCGTTTAGAGTATGCCGATTATTTTTTTTAATACGTAAAGAATATGATATGAAATTCAAATAAGATTTCATACTTTTTCACAAATTTTGAACATTTTTCTTGGTTAAGGTGAGTCCCTGAGGAAATATTTTTTCACGATGAATATTTCAAAAATACCTTTCTTCTTTGATCAATTATCTTCATCGACTTTTTATTTTGGTCCTCACGCTTACACAAACACATTCCATGCTATTTTTGTCACAACAGATGTTAGTATCTTGCGCTTAGAACGTTGAATACAGCAGGAAATGTTTTTGAAGTTGAGTTAATAACGAAAGAGAAAGTCGATGAAGAGAATTCGATCAATGCAAATACGACTTTTTAAAATGTTTATCTAGATTTTTGATTGATCTTACTATCACCTCGAAATTTTAAGAACACAAATATCAGCTTCCAGAAAGCATACAGCAATAAAACTCGAACTCATCGTTTGTTGCAATGCAGAAAACAGAAGGTTGCAATTTCATGATCGCTGTCGAAAGAGGGTCAGAAAATTGTGCTCTAGAAAAGTTATAGTGATACGGTATATCAGCCATCAGGACGGACATTTTTGAAAACTTCAAGCACCTTGATAGGTTTCTAACTTTCGGGTCAAGTCAGGTATGCCGATCCGACCATCTCTGATTCCAACCTCAAACTACCGTTTTCAATCAATTACAAAGCTTTTTTGTATAGTTAGATTATTTGGCAGGCTCAATCGCGTTAGCCTTACGGAGCCGATAATTCATTGTTCATTGTTAGTAACAAAATTCACTCATTACTATGTCTAGTAGAAGTTGGGCCGAATACTCGCGGCTCACCAGAGGCTAGAGGGGTACATGGTCGAAGGATAGGATCAGGGGAGGTGCTTGGGGTGGGATTTCGTGGTCTCATCAGAGCGTTGTCACTAGTATGAACGGTAGTGCAGTTCTAGATTCGCCTGAAGTTCAACCGGCTATGGTGACCAGTGGGCGACGATGAGACTCATCGAGACGGGGGGACAAGACAATTAAAAACTAATAAAGAGAGATAAAAGACAAAGGAATTAAATTCTTATACAAGACATTTGTAGAAACACATGACTCGACTGAAAGAGCTGGGATCGCGGGTTCCCAACATCCCAACACGTCTCTGATAGGAACATAGGGTTATCTTTCTTGGGCCTCGAGGGTATTCAAAAGTCGCTCTCTGGCATCTGGCATCTGTACATTGCCAAACTGTGTGATCGATGTCATCCTAACCGTTTGCACACCTACAGATGTTGCTGTCCACGAGGTTTATTCTATGGAGATACGCATCTAGTGAGTAGTGGTTGGACATAAGTCTACTCATCACGCAAATGAAGTCACGACCTAAACCCAAGCCTTTAAACCACGCTCTCGAAGAAATATTAGGAATAATTGAATGTAACCATCGTCCAAGATTTCCAGTATTCTAATTGGTTTGCCAACTCTAAAGGGTACTCTGATACAGTAAATGGTGAAATTCATTGTGTGAAAAGCCTTCTCATTGCCTGGGATTGTGTGTTCATCACTCTGCATTTGATTAGTATTCTGATAAAGAACGATTATGGAGAGAGAGTTGTTACTCCTGCCAGAACCTCGAACCTCATGTTATCCTAGAACACTACGAAAACATTGATTTTTCATGAACACCACGAAAACATTGAGATGTTCTTCTTCTAGAATGTTTCAAATGCTCATGGAAAAATTGCAGTAATTTGGATAGAAATTTCTCGATATTTTGAAAACTTTTGGTTTCTATTGTTTTGAGAAATACCTACTATTTACAATACCATAAGACGGGGTGACATTGGGCCAAAATGGAAAAATGTTTATTGATGAAAATATCTTGAATATACAGAAAATGATAACTAGAAATATGTTTCTTGAACTCGTGGATTATAGTGTTGATAACATCAACCAGTTGTTTTATTTACATAGTGCTGTAAAGTTAAGTGTCACAAATAGTATCAAAAAACACGGTTTTAAAAATTTCCACAGGCAAACAAAAGTTTGAACACACTTTTATGTGGATAGACGTGGGTTACACACGATCTTTAGACATACATACCAAGCACATTGTGATCATAGCCAAGTGTACTCCTAATAGCTACGTTTTGTTTTGATTTGTTGGCCCATTGTCACTCCCATTTACGGTAGAGAAAAATTTTTCAAATTGAATATGAACTCAATATTTCTCACAAGTTCACTCAGTTATCTTTCTTAAAATTCTCGCGTTACTTTTCAAATAGACCAATGTAACATATCCAACCATTTTGAAAAAATCGAAGTTGAAGTTCGACAGGTTATTATTTTAACTGTTTAGAAACAATACATTTTGCAATACTATTTTTAATGTAGTCAGTGAATAGTAACGTTGACAATTCAGTAGAAACAGTAAAATCACAATTTTACTTTGAATTTCATGCTACAAAATAGAAAAAAAAACCATACAGAACGTTGTCCCTAGTCAAGTTCTACATCGGACATGTTACATTGGACGATTTTTCTCAATGACATAATCAATGAGTGTTACATTGGACGCTTTGTTCTACATGATACTTGATTCTCTTTCACAGATTTCAGAGTAAAGTACCTAACTTTAGATTGGCCCCGCCTTTAGAAAATGAGCACCAATCATGTTAGGCAGTCGAAATGACCGAAGTAACAATAATGTAACCATCATTTCAAACTGTACATTGCACAATTTTTGACCTATGATTATCTTAAATAAATGAAAGTAAATTTGGATGGATGTTTTTGTATCACATAAAATGATAGAAGAGCAATAATTTGCATCGCTTAACTCTATTTTTTACATTTGTTACTTAGGACCTTTTGAAAAGTGACGTGAGAATTCTTTTTTTTTAATGCTACCCTAGTAGACCCTTGTTATAATCTTCAGAATTACCCTAGGGAAAATTCATAAATGACGTAACGGTGTACACGGATTTTCTCCCGTGTAGAACAGTGCAGAAACGATACATATATTTCTGGTTCATGTATGGTTGTGCTGGTATCATGCGGACGTGTTACCACCGCAGTTCATTGTGGATTTCATATAGGGCTATGATCTAATTATCGTCATACTAAGCACAACCCGCAATTTACCTCACTTTTTCGAACGAGTTTGAACAAAACATGCAATGCTTCCATCAAAGATGACTTCAATAACAGTCCTGCTAACGGCATTCCACGTGCCTTCGTCTCAACACATTTCATCTACAACATTCTCCGTGTTGATAATCACTCCATTAAGAGTAGGTAACTCCCTTCACACTGCTTGAATGGATCTAAGAGGAAGAGGTAACAAATTGGCTTCTTCCTCTTTTATTTTATCTCTATCTCTATCTTTATCTATTTCTATCTCTATCTTACGCACATGAAATCGGCCAATCAGGAGCTGGTTCACGTTTGACAGAAAAGTAGTTCATTTTCGCCCCCGTATTGTCACCTCTTCTCTGAGGAATGGATCAATGAAAATGCTGAGGTGTTGACAGAACTGTGCTGTGGCTACCACAGTATTTTACATTTGATCATCCATACACGCAAACCAAAAATCTATTACAATGA